AAGACCAGCAACACTGAAAGGAAGAGAAACCAACAGAGACAAGAGGGAAGGAGGGAGGGTTGGGAGGGGGAAAAGGAAGGGAAGGGGAAAGTCAAGGAACATATAGCAAGGACTTACTGTTTCTTCTTTTAATGCTTTTGAGTTGTGAACTAGAGCTATCTCATTTAAATAAACCATTAATGACTACGCCTTTGCTAAAAGATAAACTAGGTGGTTATTATTCATCTTCCAAAAAGAAATAATGGCACAGTTCTTCAAGTAGTAAGCATTCCTAATACATTTACAACATGATTTGCTTTGTAAATTTAGACTGACATACAACTTTTCAGGAACACGTGGATTTGTAAATAAACTATGTTTTGAAAGGTGTGCATGCTGCTTCACCTGTGTGGTTGAAAAGGATGGTCAGACTTGTTTTTCTATCAACGGAAATATATTTGTTTAAGAGGCTGACAAGATGGCTAAAGTGAGATATTAATAGATACTATTTGCTTATGCACTGAATGCTTGGGAACCTAACCGTTGATTGCTAGGATGCAGCATTTAAACTTATATTCCTTCTCTGGGTTTAGATTTTGAAGATAAAAGAGTTTTCATTGTGAATTTCTTGGCTTCATTACTTAGGCTCCCTGTATATTTTTTTATGAAAGTTTCAGATATTCCCTATGTTTATTTTTTTTTATTTTGAACAAATTTTAGACTCACAGAAATGTTGCAAAATAGTAGTTTCCATGTAGACCTCACCTAACTTTCCCTGTTAACACCTTACAGCAAAAACCAAAAAAAAACAAAAACAAAAAAAAAAAAACATTACTGTAATGCAATAATCAAAACCAGGAAATTAACATTGTTTTAATACTATAAACTGAAAATTTTATTCTAATTTTAGTAGTTTTCCCACTAATATCCATTTTCTGTGCCAGGACCCCACCCAGGAACCACATTGCATTTTGTTATTATTTCTCCTTAGTTTTCTGTAGTCTGTGACTGTTCCTCAGTCTTTCCTCTTTTATTAATGCCCTTGCCATTCTTTCAGAGTACTGATTTATTTTGTTGAACATCTCTCAATTTGGGTTCGTCATGATTCAACCAAAGTCCTTCAAAGCCCATCATGTCACGGAGTTCATGGTGTCACTGTGTCATCACTGATGACATTGACCTTGATCACTTGGTCAAGGTGATTTCTTCTTTGTACTTTAACCATAGTAATTAATCATTATCTACTATTTCTGAAAAATGACAAGGTAACAAATCATGGAATGTGGAGACCATCTTTTATAGTTAAGTTCTCAGAAGCTCCAAGAGGGTAACCCCTTGCCCAAAGGTCACCCAGTTATTAATGCCAGAGCTGGAAGTTCACACTTAGGTATCAGGAATCCAAGGTGCATGTTCTTGAAGTTGAACTTCTCACAGGGGATAAAGGGTTGAATATGAGACATTTCAGGCAGCAGGGTAACATGAGGAATACTAACTGTGCTCCCGTACTTGTAATTTACTTAGTCTCAGTTTTACAATGCTAAAAAATATATATGTATATAAACTGACTATATGAATATATAGCCAACTTTTAGTCAAAACTTATAACCAGATTAAAGGAGGAATCATAGCTAGGTATGTACCCTCAGTTCATGGTGCCTACTCACAGAGCTGGCCCAGGCTGGGAATCAGAGGAACTTCTGCATCAGCATTTCTGAAGTGCAAATAATTCTCCTGGAATGATCCATATAACACATAGGGACAACAACAAAAAACCTACTTGAGATTTTTAACAGAAAAAGGAGATTTGTTTATTAATAATTCATGAGTTCCCATTGAACATGCACGACAGAAACAGTGCTATTCAATAGAGAATACTGTCATCTGTCACTGTTTTATTTGACATTTACACTTTTTTTTTTGCCTGATACTGCAAAACTTTCTTGGATGGCATGCAAAAATTATATAAATGAAAAAAAAAATCCCAATGTGGGGACTCTTTATCTCTTCTGTGATGGGTTCACTCACAGTTGCATACATGTGTGTTCATGCAAGAGTATGGCACTTTCTCAGAGATTCATTAGCCACCAAACAAACTAATAAGAGACCCCATCGAGAAAACAGATAAGCATCCTAAATGGACTGGTGGAAGGATTGCATGAATAAAAAGATGGAGGATGAGATGGGAAGTGAGGTGGAAGAATAGATTTCCGGAAGGTAAGCATAAAATAGGGAGAGTGAGCAGTGAGTCAGACTGAGGAGAAGGCATATCATGGCTGCCATAGAGAAAGCTGACGAAAATCCATTGCCGTTTCAAACAAAAAATAAATATTTATAAATGGCATTACAGGAGCGCCACTGGGAGGGAATATGGGCATTTAGTAGAAGAGCAAGTTAGAGTTAGAGCACCTTGCAGTTTGTGCTGGTGTAAGGCTCTTGACAATCTTTCTGCTCTGTAGGTTAGTTATTATTTATAAAAATCACAGAACCAGCTGATACATTCATAAGCTAATTATTGAAGCAGCTGGGTACACATGGTGCAATATGTCCAAGGCTGTGAAGTATCACAGATTTCTTGGGGCCTGCTGTGGTGGGGGTGCGCTGGTGAAGGCTCCATCCCTTAATCTGATCAGCCAAGCAAACACTTTGTGGGGAAACTAGATTAATAACCCTCTAAATACCATGAATGTGCTTCATCTTCAAAACCGGGTTCCCTTAAACATGCTATTAGCTCAGCTCCATCAGGGATTTGAGGAGGTTCTCTGGTGCTCTAAGAACAGGGCCTTGTTGGCTACCTCCCTGTGCCAGAAATTAATTTGGTTTGCTTATGTCTGCACACATGATCACACTTGTGTCTAATCCGCTCCCTAATAGCTTCAAGGTCAGGACCTTGCATGTCAGTGGGCAAATTGAGCACTACACTTCTTAAAGACTGATGGCAGACAGCACACAGTCCATAACGAGGCCTGTAGTTTGTTCTAAGTGATTGTAATGAGTGCAGATTATAACAGCACATATAAATCAAATGCGGCAGTGAACGTCGTGTGAGACATTTTGAGTATCATAAGTGAAGATACCACTCAGCTGTCACCTGTCTCCTTTCAAGCTGCAGCTTCCCACAATGCAATTCACTCCTTAAGCAGAATAGCAGGTGCTGTCCTCCTGAAGGTCCGGGTATCTTCAGAACTTTATCTTTTAACAGATGTAGGTTTTGTTTTTATTTTTTGTTAAATGATTCGTCTCCATGCCATAGCTTTCCCTGGGGAATGTTAAACATACCTGTTTGAAAAAATGAAAGAGTTCAGTTGGAGACTTATTCAGATCTGTGAAAAGACAGAGAAATAGGAGCTTATTTTTTCCACAGATGGTTTATTTTCCGTTTCAAGAATCCTTTCCTTTGTACAAAGAAACCCTTGAGGAAACACTTTGGGACTAGGAGAGTTTTAAAAATACAACTTATTTTCTGATAGAGATAAAAATTTGTCTTCAGTTTTCATACATGTTGTACCTTGAAAAATCAACCATTACCTGTCTCTCCATTGAGCTGAAAAACAAAAATACCTATGAAAATACTTGGAAAAGTCTTTCCAAGGAAATGATTAGATATCTTGTTTTCATTCTTCCTAACCCTCTAACTCTCCCCAGCTCCCAGTTTATTGTAAGAAAAGATCAGGTCTGCGCAAATGTGGCCTCTCACTTGTAAAAACAAGGCAGTGTTGTGTTACAGATTAGTTTATAAATCCCCAGCGGCTTCACAGTTCAGTGCCTACAGCTGCTGCAGATGGGCCTGGGTTTTTGTCTCTTCGTGGTGCTGCGGCCAGCAGTTGAAGGGGAAAATGGAATGATCAGGTTATTAACATGGAGGCCGCGAGGAAGAGGCTGCACAATGAGAACAGCTGGTGTTGCTGTCTTGGCTGATGCAGCGGAGATAATCAAATCTTGCCTTTTTTTGGGTAAAGGCAGAAGACACAGTGGAGTGTCAGACAAACAACGGCTTATGATATTATATGGGGTTTTTAGAATGCGTGTCAGGAACTTTCATTGGCTTACAAGTTACGATATAGAAATTTGTTGAGGTTTTGGGATTTATTTTTCACAAAGTCATTTGTGTTTGCTTATGCACCTTTTTAGAAAAATTCTTACTTTCGCGAGAGGCGTGATGTGGGACAGTTCTTGCTTTTAAAATTAGCGATGTAGCTTAGAAATGATGGGTTAGAAAGCAACTGGGTAAAATATTTTGACATGAGTCAGTGAGCGATGTTGACAGCATCCACTGTATTATTTTCATATAATCTATCATTATTTGCATTACATTTTCTTTCTCGTGCAGTTGCGAGCGAGAGAACATCCGGATGCTAGAGTTGAGAGGCACACGTTTGCAGGTGTGACCCGGCCAACTGCTTACCTTCCGGCAGGTGTGGCTGTGGCGGGAAGGTGATGGTTAACAGGGCCTAGAGCCCCAGGCGTTCAGAGGTGGAGCAAATACACCTTTTTTTTTTTCCATTCTAGCTAAGGTGGTTGTTTCTGTTTCATAGCATTACTGATAATCTTAAAACTGTTTTCTGCCTAGAGAATTCAGTGCAATTCACACGTAGACATTTTTATTTCTTTAGAATTTTCCATTTTGTAATATGTATTTGTTCATCTTCCCTCTTTTCTTAGGATGGAATACTACCCAATTGAGTAATTTTAAAAAATTGTAGTAGACCAACACAATTACCTTTTTTCTGAGGATTAGATAAGTATAATCTTGCTTGAGTTTCTTCTACAAAGGAACTGTAAATTAACTGACAATGTATGTGATAGGAAGGGCGATAAGATAAGAGATTTTCACGTTTTGGTCTAAACCACCTATATGGTTATTAGTTGGTTTTAGAGTAATCAGTCTGTTTCAGTATCTCCCCAGGTTGGTGGGAACAATTTCGACCAAAAATGCGGTAACATGCGATGGCACTTACTGCAGTCAAGCCATCCTCTGCTGCTCTGCACTCTGCAGGTGAACTCAAGTGACCTTCTCTCTCTAGGGCTGGCTGTGCGAACTGCTCCGCTGGAAGGAGAACCCCAGCCCAGAAAACCGCACACTCTGGGAGAACCTCTGTACTATCCGTCGCTTCCTGAACCTTCCCCAGCACGAGAGGGATGTGATCTACGAGGAGGAGTCCAGGCATCACCACAGCGAACGTATGCAGCACGTGGTCCAGCTTCCCCCGGAGCCAGTGCAGGTCAGTGCTCCCTTCTTCCAGTCTGGGCAAGGCTGTTTGTGTTAGAAGCTGTGGCGAGTCAAATGGGCACCCCATACCAGCTCCGTGCCATGTGCGTAAGGACAAGGACCTCTTTCTCTCTGGGGGAAGAGAGTGTGCGAACCGTGTGCACACACACATGCTCACAGAGAGAAACATGACTGAGAAGTCAAATCCAAAGGCAGGTCCTTTTGTAAGAGTTTTTTACTGGTGGGACTGTGAAGCAAGTGCATTCGTGCGGTATTAAATCTCCCGATCAGAAAACATAATTCATAGTTGGCATCGGTTCATTTTCTAAAGAAAAAACAATTCAGTTTCCAATTAATTGATTAAAAATTCCTCAAGGAATGTTTGATTGTGCTGCGGAAAAGAAATATCCACACGGCAGGGGTGTCCAACCTGTGGCCCGCAGGCTGCATGTGGCCCAAGATGGCTATGAATGAGGCCCAACACAAAATTGTAAATTTACCCAAAAACTTTTCTTGTTCATCAGTTTTCATTAGAGTTTGTTTATTTAATGTGTGGCCCAAGACAACTCTTATATTCCCAGTGTGGCCCAGAGATGCCAAAAGGTCGGACACCGCTAACTGAGAATACCATTGAACTCAACTGCAGCATTGAGAGAAATTATTGATATATTCTTAGAATTTTAAGATGGGTTTTTGCCATCTTTGGTTTCCTCTGTTTTAGAAATCTGCTTTCATTTGGGTGCATGTTTTGTTGCTTTGTTTTTGTTATCATTAAGAGAAATTTTTTTTTCTAAAAGTAATTGAGTTTAACTACTTAAAAATCACTTAGTTTCAGGAAGAAATATTACCAGTAACTCAGATTTCCAAGGTTACACATCATGGGGTTTTCCCCACAGATTGTTTTGGTAGGTGATGAGATTAGTGCTACTGCCCAATACCACCAATCCCAGCTGCCACCAAAGAGGACCCTTCAAAGTCTCTGTCTGAAATTCCTTTTGTGTAGCAAAAAGAGGAAGGGTGAGGCAGGAGTACATGTAGATGTATATGTGTGTGCAAAGAATGGCAGAGAAGATCAGCAGAATAGAAGACCGGTGTGGCATGGTTTCTTGATCGAGGTATCATAGGGGAGGTGGTAAAGGATGGGGGGAGAGGCTCTACCCTGCGGTTTCCTATCTCCTTTCTCCTTGGTCCACTCTTACGTGCCTGGGGGAAAAGCCAGAGTAAATTGGTCCCTCACATCACTTTTCATCCAAACATTGACATCTCAGTCAGTGCTTTCATGTCAGTTTCCAGAGTCACGGAGTAAATTGCCCAAATGATCAAACTCATGAATTCGTAGAACAGGAAGCACCTGGGGGCAGCCGCTTACACAATCCCCAGGAAACTCAGAGTGGGTAGCTGATGAGGGTGTGTGAGAAGTGGTGGAGCCCACCCTCCTGGCTCTGCACTGATGCCTGGGTGAGTCTTTCCTCAGAGGCGAGTCCCAGGACCTGCCCTCCAGGACTCACCATCCCCCTTGTCCCTCCTTGTCCTTTCCCAGGCGGGGCCTCATTCAGACACTGGAACACCTCCCTATTAGGTCAATACACTGAGTCCCATAGAGTGCTGGTTTTCATATTTTGGGATTTAATAGAAATTAAAATTAAAGAGGGGTCCAATATAAGTTCACTAACTTATCATTTAGGAAGATAAATTTACATGAAAAAATTTAAGGAAAGCTCCCATTTATTATCCATATATTTTATGCAATAAAATATTTTTACTAGCAAAACAAATTGATGAAAAAGATAGCCTCAGACAAATGATCTTACAAACCATATAAGTTCAACCATATAAAAAAAAAACTTCTCTATCATTCTTGATTTTCTCATTTTTATGCAAACGGGTCAAAACTTTTATGCTGAAGCAATGCAAGGCCAAAACTAGCTTCAGGGAACCTTCGGCTTTGTGTGGATTTTTCATTCAGGGATCATTTTAATTCAATCCAGGAAAAGTAGAACAGGAGTCAAAAACTGCTTTATTCTAGACATTAATAGCATCCCATTTTAAATCCCATTTTCTATTTTAAAGCTGGAAATTTAGAGAAGTTTGAGATAAAATTACTAAAACCTCTTCTCCATTATAATTGAGAACTTCCCTTTATTTGGATGATGTTGGCTCCTGTACATTTCTGTCTCCATTTTTTTGTCCAGAAATTCTCATTTCTAAGAGGTCCCCATGTTTAGGGAACTAAAGGATATTCAACATTATATTTTGTCTTTTAACTGACAAATTTAAGTAAAGTAAGTCTTAGAAGGAGATCAGTTGAGTTTTATTACTTTTTATGTTAGTATGTTAGAACTATAGTATGCTAACAATATTTAATGGCTAAGAGTCCATCTGTAATTTTTGTTGTCAGTTTTAAGCACTTTTTGGATATTAATATTAACTTCTGATATCACTAAGAGAATTCTTTTATTTTGTAAAAGGTTACTCCTATCATTCAGATCCTAGCTAAAGAGTTTATAAATAGGGTAAATTTCTCTGCATTGACTTTGCCTTAGCCATTGACCTTGAGCCCATAACTACTATGAAACTCTTCAAATGCATCACTTTTTGTTTTACATTGTACGCATGTCTAGGTGACACCGCTTTGAATCTGTGTTTTGTCAGCAAGATACAAAGTTTTGAATTAATTATTTATTAGTCATGATATGAAAAATAAAGAAACTCTTAAATAAAAAAACTCTAAAAATAAAGAACTTCTAATGACTAACTGGAACTCTGGAGATTGGAGAATACAATTGGTACAGCCTCTGTGACTTGGGAAGGACTATATTAAAAAAGATCCCAAACTACTAAAATTTATCTATAATTGTTCAAAAGTTAAACCATTGGACTCAAGATTGGACTTCACTTGTATCCTTATACAAACTGAAATTTTAAGTAGATATGATTGCCTACATGTTTTAGGAATTTTAAAATTCACGTGTAGTGTAACATTTGTTTGCTAATGTTACATTTTGTCTAAAAAGGCCAGAAATGCAAAATTATTAAATTATTAAATATTGGTGAAATCAGTGATTACTAAGAGTGTCTGATGTACATAGGTCATAGAAGGGCAGTCGTTGTGGTTCTAGAAGGGTGCCATTTAAATTTCTTTAAGTAGTTAGGGCGCACTGTTCCCCAATTTTTCTTATGCATTAAGGGGGTGAACCAATGACCTTTGTGCACAGTTACCCACCATATTAGTTTGTTGAATTAGAGTCACTCAGGCATGCTGGACAAAGGAAGGAGCTTCTCATCACCTCCTGCCCAGTCAGTACTTTTGGTGATGCTGCGAGGCTTCCTACAGTCAGAGCCTCTCTCTCCTCACGGAAAGAACAGAGGAAAATTTTCTTGCTATTTGTTTGCAAATAGCTTACACATTGATAGGCTTACATTGCCTGCAGCTGTGTTTCTTTTTTTAAAGCCCTCAGAGGGTTTTAAAATTTTAAACCCACACTTAAAAATCAGGAGATTTCACATAAAAACCCAGATTTCACGTAACAATCCAAAAAAGTCACAGGATCTGACACACTGGGCTGCTTGGCCGGAGCTGATACATTCTCTGCAGGGCGCACACTTGCAGAGATGGGATCAGCTCACCTTGCAGCTGCCCGGTCCTCATCAGCCACTCTCTGTGTCCTCACACACATCCCTTCATTTAGGCCTCACTCCTGTCACCCTGTCATGTCCCTGTAAGGCCACCTTGCCCCTGGGACCCCAGCTCTACGCTGAAGCCGCCACACCAAGGCTGCATGTGCCTTTGCCCCATGGTTCTGAGTTCTTCCAAGGTAACCGTTGTGTGCTATTTATTTTTATAATCCTAACACCTAACAGAAGCTTTTGCATGCTTACCAAGAAATGCGTGTTGATGGTATTTCCCTTCAGAGATGAATCTAGATTATAGTTGAAGCCAGGTTCGTCTTGGGGCCCCTAAGAGGTGCTGTCAGCCCCAGAGATGGGGGAGCCCAGAAAGAATGAGGTGGCTCTTCCCCAGGAATTCCTACCTCTCCAGGTGACATGTAGCTTTGATGTCACATGGAATTGCCTGGTTTCTCCAGTTTTCTTTTTGGTGTTCTAAGTCTCTTCAGAGCCCCCCATTTAAGTCCCTGCTGTGTACAAAGTGACTTTCCAGGCTTTGTAAAGTGGGTCCCTCTATACCCTGGGTCCTCAGTGGGGGCAGTACTGCCCAGGGGGAGAAAATTTGTTCTTGGGGAGCATAAAACATCTTCCGTTTACAATGGTTTGTAGCCCTCCAAAGGGAGATATTCAGTGTATCCTTGGTGTTAAAATTGCATGAAGCAGGGAAGATGATTAGGGGGGAAAAAGTTCCTAAATGGGCTCCTCCGGGGGGATAATTTAAAAAGGGAGGTTGTGAAATACTAATGTGCCTAATATTTCTAGCCCATGTGAGTGTAACACAGAGAAGACCAACATAGGTAAGATGACATGGTGAGGCAAACTGAAACAGTCCATGAAAGAGATGAAACAAATTCCATTTTTTTATGCCAGAAGTTGGAGACAAAAGTATTTCTTGTGGTTGTAGTGATTTTCTCCCTAGTGGTTATTATGACCTGAGGCCCTATACCGAATGGATATCCTCAGCTTAGAATCAAAAACTAGTTAGGTCAGAGTATTCATTATTAACAACTGCATTTTACAATTGGAAAAACTGCTGCAGAGACGTTGAGCCTTGCCTGAAGCCAGGTCGCCAGCTGAGTGAAAAAACGCAGGCGTTTTTTGGCATCCGCTGTTCCCTCTGACCACACTTCTCCTTTAATGCACTAGGGAAGAGAGGACATTGCTCATGCTGGGACTAGGTCACTGAGTGGGGTTGATTGGGGAGCATTTGCCAAATCGTTCATGTCTGTGTAGTTCGTGCTTTATTGCTTTATTATATTTCCACCACAGTGTTTCCATGGGTTATTTTGGAAGCCCAGGAATTCTGAGCTTGCTGCTATGTGGTTTCCTGACAAGTACTTGTTTTAA